GCCCGGCAGACCGTTAGGGCGCGAAAGAATGTCCACGTTTAAGAAGAATTGTTTTAAATCGAGTCATCAGCTTGGAAAATACCACCGACTTCCTGGACCCACAGCAGGACCTGGGCGGGGACCGAGCCCAGGAGGGAGGGGCAGGTCCCCACGCAGGAAGCCCAGCCCTGCCCAGCCCCAGCGCGGGGGGTGGGTGAGGGGACTGAGGACGGCCCTTCTACCCTGGCCGGCCCTCCTCTGAGAAGCGGCTTCGCAGATGTGCAGCTGCAGGGAGATCGGCGCCGCATGTCCACGCCTGAGTCTGTCCTGCGGTGGCCGTGGCCTGGCCCCCATGGGGGCAGAGCGGGGCAGTGGGCTGCGGCGCTGGCTCCTTTTCTTGGCACGGCCATGCTTCTTTTTTCCAAAAGGGGCAGGGTCAGCCCTCAGCGGGCCAGCGGGCCAGCCCTCAGGGCCGGGCCGCCTGTGACGCACACGCTCGTGGTCTGGGAGGGCAGGTGTCTAGCTCACCGCTGACCTGACACCGGGCGCTCAGCAGGCACTCGAGAAACCGTGGACCGATGTCCTCGGCGACGGGCCTGGGCTCTTGGCACAGGGTCCCACTAGCCCCACCTCCCAGAGGGCCCCGCCGGCCCTGCCAGGCCCCGCTTCCTCTCCCGGGGCCATCCCCTCCAGCCTGACCAGAGCAGCCCTGGACAGAAAGCACGCTGCTCCCAGGCACCTAGCTTGAGGCTGGACCAGGCAGCCCTTGCGCTCTCCTCCAGGCCACTGCCCGCAGGTACCTGCACAGCACCTTCCGGTGACCCTGCCCTATGCAGAGGCCCCGAGAGCCCCGGGCCCCACGGCCCCTCCTCCGACTCCCTCAGGGGGCTGCTGAACTCCTAGCTGAGCTTGTCACCTCTACTGAGCCCAAGAACCAGGGGAGCCAGAGGTCGGCCAGTCCCCAGGTCTCCCACCTGTCCCCTGGGCGCCAGGCCTGCTCTGCCCCACAGGGAGCCCAGCAAGTGGCTGCAGACTCTCGAGCCTCCAGTCAGACCAGGCCCTCGTCTCTCAGATGGGCCCCCAGAGTGTGGAGGGACAGTGACCGGGGAGCTGGGCGGGGTTGATGTGTGGCCGTGAGCGCACGCCCCATCCCTAGGGTGCAAAAAATTTTGCTCTGAAAGGTCAGTTTTCCTGTTGAGCCAACCGGGTCATTTATCCTGCCCTGGAGTGGCCTCCTGCCCAGCGGAGTCCCGGAGCTGCCTGCCGTGGCGTCTAAATGCTTTGTTGTGTGCGAACGTGCTTTGAGGCTGACTAAGCCCCACAGTGTGGACCTCAGGCCGTGGGAGAGTCTGAACCCCTGGCGTCACCCTCACAGGGGACACGGCCTCTCCCCACCCAGCTCCACCCCAGCTCCCCATCGACAGGTGTGGGTGGAGGCTTGGAGGCTGAGGGGTCTGCCTGGCTCCAGGACTCAACGGGCAAGCCGCCCAGGGCTCCCTGGTGAGGGCCAGAAAGGCAAGCGCTGGGGTCCTCGGTCCAGGACTGGGGGTGCCAGAACCCCGTGCACAGCGAAGGGCAGTGGCCAGCCCCTCCGAGCCTCGGGACCATGGAGGCCAGAGCTGGCCAGGGCAAGCTACCCCGGAGGCCAACCCATTCTCAGTCCCAGACATGGGGTGCCGTGGAGGAGCGGACGCCACCCTGTGGACTCAGCTGGCACCCCAGAAAGCCCTCAGCACATGCACGGGGGCCAGGGCCTGGAGGGACATCTAGACAGCCTCCTGCCAGCCTCTCCTGGCCACCAGGGCCCCCGGCCCCTCCCTGCACCCCCTCCACTGACCACAGAGGGGCCTGCACCCCATGCCTGCACCTTGGTCCTTGGGCACCCCACGCAGGAGACCCCTGCGCCCCAGATGGGAGGCTGGCTCCCCACCCCTGACATCTCAGACGGCGTCTCTACAGCTGCTCCTGCAGTGTCTTCTGCAGGAACCAAGCCACAGAGTCTCACTTCATTCTGGAAACTTCTCTTGTTTTAATGCACAAGTGTAGTGAGTGTGAGTGAGTGCGAGTGTGTACAGGTGTACTCATCATCGTAACCCGCCTGTTCCATCCAGGGAACTGACCACTGAGAAGTCCTGAAAGCAACCTAGATGCAAGCAGAGGTCAAAGGGCAGAAGACCACATTGACACTGATGGTCAAAGGCTGCCTGACCCTGCCCGGAGCCTGGACTCTGGGAGCCCCAGAGCCCCCAGGAGCCCCAGGATCTGAGAACTCCAGGAGCTGTTTGCTCAGGAGCCCCGGGAGCCCCGGAACCGAGGCCCAGGAGGGCAGCAGCACCAGCGACGAGGCCGACAGCTGCTGGAGGACACGCAGGAAGCCGGGCCTCTAGGGCCACAGTCCCCAGCCCCTGCCACGCAGACCTGGCGCTCAAGGGGTGTGGTCTCGGCCCACACCATCTTCTGGCTCTCACTAGCCCTCGCTTGCCACTGTCTTGCTCCCCAGCTCCACCAGGGCCTCGAGACCCTCCAGCCCTAGAAGCCACACCCTGTGGGGTGCGTTGGGGTGCTAAGCAGGCTGGGACGGGGCAGGGGCGGGGAAGGGGGCTGTGCCTGTGCCACCACAGACCCTCATCTGCAAGGGAGCGGGGTGGGGGGAGCGGGAGGCGGGCTCTGAGACCATGTCCTCCTGGTGCTCTCGCTGTGCCCACCAGACGCCCCTCGTGTGCTCCTTCCCCTCAGGTGACAGCAGGACGGCCCTGCAGCACCTGCCTCCTCCTGCATCCTCTCCCTTCCGCGACGGCGCCCCTCGAGCCTCCTCCCCAGCCCGGAGGCCGGGCCTCTGTACTCCTACCCGCTCCTGCCCCTGGTGCTCCCGGGCCAGGGGTGTGCAGGACCACGGTGGAGGCCGCTAGGACAGCTGCAGCGGAGCAGGCGCGGGGCCACCCCAAGTGCCGCACACACAGAGCTCCCCACCGGGCCCGCGGGGCCTCGCCTCAGCAAGGGATCACGCAGTCACTCAATAAACATCTGCGCTCTGAGGACCAGGCACTCGGCTGCTTGTTGGAGACCCAACCCCTGGGACAGGGACCCGAGTGTGGGGTCGGGGAGGAAGAGCCCCGTGCCTTGGTGCCCCAGACGAGGGCTGTGACTCATCCCTCTTCGCATGCCCTTGGCCCTACAGGGCCCCCTTCCAGTCAGTATCCCTGAGCTGTTGCCTGTCCCTCTGGGAAGGGCGGGGCAGAGAACCAAGAGGCTCTCACCACCCTCGCAGCCCCCCAAAAGTCAGTCACAGCAGCCCCCAGCTCCCCAAGAGACATGAACTAAGTCAGGCCACCCCCCCGTCCTAAAGAGACCCTACCTCCGGTAGGGAACCCCTCTAGCCTCCCCAGAATCCTGCTGGAGTCAGGGCACCCCGGGCCCCAAGGAGACCCTGCCGGGGTTGAGCGTCCAGCCCCTGCTGCCAGCACTGTCGGGAGCCCACGTCGGGCGGCGCCCAAGGCCGGCCCTGGTGGGTGGGGCTGCTTCCCGCGTCCCAGCGAGGCCAGAGCAGATGTCTGGCAGATGTCTCTGCTACGTCAGCGTCAGCCCCGGGCTCAAGGGGAGGGAACCGGCGCTCAAACCCCACGCCTGGGGGGGCCAGAGCCCGCAGGGTCGCCGTTCGGGCTCCCCCCCCCGCCTGTGCCCAGCAGGCCCCGGTGCCACGGCCACGCCCTCCTGCCGTGCTCTGCCAACCGTGGGTGAGCGGCCCCGCCGGGGGTCATCCCGGCCCCGCCGTCCAGCTCACAGGGGGCTCCCAGCCTCAGGCACGAAGGCTGCCCAGACGGGGGCCTGGGACAGGCGCCCTGAGGCCAGTGGCCAGGATGGCGCTGGGCACACCAGGACCACCGGCCCCTGGTACCTCAGCCCCACTGGGGCAAGGAGGACCTGGGCTGCAGGGGCCAGGCCGGCCCCTCCATGCTTCCATGCGGAAAACCAGGAGGGCAGAGGACACGGGGCGGCGGGAGCGTGGGGGACGCCGTCCAGGCAGCCATTGCGTCTGGACAGCGGGCGCCGTTTGCTGGCAGCCTGCGAGGGGCAGGGCCCGCACTGCTCAGGGCCGGGCAGTGCATGGGAGGCCTCGGGCAGGGGTGCCCTTCCTGGCGCGAGGGGACAGAGGCGGAGGGCCACCCCACGCCGAGCGCCCCCCCAGAGGCCCATCCCCTCCTGTTTGCTGCGCTCGGTCCCAAGTCTGGGGGCGCCTGCGTGGGGAGCTGGCCAGGGCCGGGAGCACCGAGGGGCTGGGTGGGCGCCGGCTCCCCGCGCAGCCTTGGGCAGCCTCCAGCCCGGCGCGGGGGTCCAGCGGGCGGCATGCAGGACAGAGGCCGCAGCTGGGATGCGCGAGCCCCGGAGGGGGACAGGGTCCGGGGAGGCAGCTGGCCGGGGCCGCACCCTCCGCTGTGTTATAAGAAAAGGAACTGAAACTCTGACCACACAGATTACGGCATTTTCCTGTAAAATGTGCTCCTGGAAAAGTGGAAACTCCCTCGGACTTTGGAAGCAGGCTCGGCCGGCCTTCCAGGGCGCCCCGGGCCTTTGCTGCCATTTTAACGCTGCCGCCTTGTGGCCACTTGGGAAACTGCAGGCTCTGGACGCTGACCACAGAGCGTCACCCCAGGGCCCGCCGGCCGCAGGGCGGCACCCCTGGCCTCCGGCCGCCCTGTCCCCCGAAGCAGGCCCTGGCAGTGCCTCCCACGCGCCCGTGTACCCTCTGAAGTGTCCAGGCGGCGTCGGCAGAGGCCTCAGAGCTTCTGTCCCCTCCGTCCTTCAGAGGAGGAGGAATCGCGGCTCCCTCTTCACACACGCGGCTTTGAGACCGGCCGGCAGCCTCACACGTGCTGGTCGGCGGGCCCAGCCCCCCCAGGCCCTGGGCTCCCTGGGACGCAAGCAGCGACCGGCAGCTGCCCTGGTGCGGGATCCGAGCCCCCCCGGGCTGCTGTACACCCAGGAACCTCTGGAACAGTCATCCTTGAGGACGCCCTGCCTTTCCCCTTTAAGACACGCGCTCCAGGGCTCGCGTTTATTGTGCTGGGCTCAGGCGCACACAAGGGGACTGCTCCTGGGCACCAGCTTGGCTGGTGGGCAGTGGGGGGGGCAGGCCAGCGGAGCCACTCAGGAGCTGAGGGGCCATGGGGTGCCCAGCCCCACCACCTGTGCCCACAGAGCCCCAGGGCAGGGGGCCAGGTGGGGACCTGGAGGCTCCAGAACTGCCCGTGACCTGGGGCAGCTCCATGGGTGCGCCCTGGAGCCCCCAGCTCTGCCCTCACGCAGCCCTGAGCCCCGCGCCCGCCCCACCCACCTCAGGCGGGTCTTGGGGGACTGCCGGGGTGGTCACTGGGGTCCCGGGGCGGGGGGGTAGGGGCAGGTCCAGTGAGGTGGCACAGCCTGGCCTGGGGCTCCCGGTCACCAGCAGCCAGTGGTTGTGCGGCTTCTCCACTCTGTGGGCGTCCAGGTGAGTGTGCGCCACGACCTCAGCCTCCTTCCCAAAGCAGGTCCTGGGGGAGCGCAAGGCGGAGCTGGGGCCACTGCCCCCTCCCCCTGGCCCTCCCCCCCAGCAGAGCCCCCACGGGCAGGGCCCCTCGCGGGAAGGGAAGCCTCCTCCCCCAGGACCCAGGGCTCGGCGTGGGCGCCCGACCTGAGGAGGAGGTGCCGGTGCACGGCCAGCGCCCGGTTGGTGTGGCGGTGGCTGAGGAGGAGCCTGGTGTTGGCCTGCGGGGACAGGGGGCGCTGCCTGTGCGGTCAGCAATGGCGGGGGATGCGGTGCCAGGGCCACCTGCTGTCGGCCACACGGTGGGGACAGGACGGTGCGGCACGGCTGGGGCCGGAGCCCTGGCCCGTGACCGTCCCCATAGACTCGCTGCCGTTATCCGTGCCGGGCAGACGGCCCAGGGGCTGCGATCGCGACATGTTTGTGGGGCCAGAGTCGGCGGTCAGGCATCCAGCCCCTACCAGGAGCGGAAGCAGGAGCCTGGGCCCCACCATGCTGGGCAGACCCGGGGTCACCCCAGCTAGCCACTCTGGTCCTCCCCGCTCTGCAGCTGCCCCCACCCCCATGACTGCGGCCTTTAGATGGGGCCCCAGCAGACCCGTCCCCATCAGGCCTGGGCCTCCAGAGCCAGCTCCTGTGAAAATGTCCGACCACGAGCAGGACAAAAGTGCTGCCCCCGGGACCCCACACTGCCATGAGGCTGCCCCCAGACTCCCCAGGGGTGAAATGAGGACAGACAGAGGCCAGGAAGGAGGCGGCAGTGACCCTAACGGCTCACTCAGTAGCCCAGCCACCCCAAGGGGCTCGGACTGGTTGGTAAAGGCCCGGGGGTCACGCTGACCAGTGGCCCCAGCTGGGTAGCCGAACACACGGCCTCTCCTGCCCAAGGCCCTGCGCAGAAGACCACAAGGCAGAGGATGGGGGCTGTGGCCTCTCCCCACAGCTGGCTGCAGCCCTCTCAGCACCAGACCCGCACCCCCCGGGCCGCTCACCGGAACGGGGGTGCCCTCCTGCTCCAGGCGCAGCTGAGGGTCGGGGCAGGCGACCTGCCAGCAGTTCAGGTGGGAGACCTCATCCGTCAGGAACACCTCCTGCAGCCACGACCTCTTGGACGACCTCCCCAGCGTCCTGTGGTCACTGGACAAGTACAGCTGAAGGGAAGAGGCCGTGAGCCTCGTGCCCTGCCGCACACTCAGAGGGTGCCCCCGGGCGCGGACGGTGGGCAGTGGCTCAGGCCACCTCCAGAGCTGCCAGCTTCCTCCCCATCGGTACGTCCTCCAGAAGCCCAGACACAGCGTGGCCAGCGCAGCCTCCCCCCTCCGTCCCTCCTGCCTCCCTCCTCTCTCCTCCTCCCTTCCTCACCCCTTTCCCTCCTCCCTCTCCACCCCTCCTCCCTGCCCTGTCCACTCCTCCATCAGGGCATCGAGCTGACCCACACTATCCAAGGGCAGCTGCACCGGGTGAAGCACGCGTGTGAAGTGACAAGCTGTGAAACTGGCCACTGACACTACCCAGGGAGCCACTGGCTTCGGGCCGGCCACGCCCGGGAGCAGGCAGGTCCCACTGTGCCAGGAACCACCCATGCTGCTGAAAAGCCGGGGAGGCGAGTCCTGTTGGTCTAGACTGGCCACTGCACCCACCTTGGGCTCCTTGCAGGGGCACCTTCATGGGGGGCGGGGTGGGGGCGAGGCAGTGCCTGCCCTGGAGTTTCCTGACTGAGGGAGAGGTGGGCGCGGCCATGGGGCCACAGGTGGGCACACATGTTGGCCGGGGGGCTAGGCTGGCATGTGGAGCGGGAGTGCAGGCCTGAAGGCAGCGAACCCTCACCCGGGTCTGAAGCCAACAGGCCTCGGAGGGGACAGACAGGCCGGGACCCAGCCCGGACTGCCCACAGGGTCGGGTGGGCAGGGAGTGGCCGCAGCAGGCCTGGCCGGGCACTGGGCAGGGTAGCAAGGCACAGCCGGACACTGACTGGAGACAGGGAGCAGAAGAAGCAGGAGGCCTGAGTCAGACCAGATGCCACAGTCAAACGGGAAACCCGCTGGACACTCCTGGCGGTCAGGTCGGCTGCAGGCAGAGCCAGCACTTCTGCCGCCCCCAGGGGCTCCCTTCTCAGAGGTGCACCCGAGGGGCCGGGTGGGTGCCGGAGAGGCCGAGAGCTGCAGTGGCAGCCAGGGGAGGGTCCTACACGTCAGCTCAGCTAGTTTCTCAAAGCCGTTCAAGTGCCGCAGAGGCCGAGAGGCGTCCCTGCGCTCAGCTGTGAGAGCCGCTCTCCTGGACAGTGTAGCCCAGAGGCCCAACCCGGTCTGCCCTAGTGGCCTAGAGGCTGGAGCTGCGCCTGAATACTGAAGATCCGGCCTCGGCGAGAAACAGCCGGAGCAGCATCGCCACGGCTGGGGCCGAGCAACCCAGAGCAGAGCCACTAGGCCGCACCGGCAGCGGTGGCCTCATAGTTTCCCCATCGGCACCACAGGGGAGGAGCCTCCCCTCACAGACTGGCCTGGAGGCTGAACGGGCGAGCCAGGTGAGGCGCCCGCGGGGCCGCAGGGCCTGGTGCCCAGCACGAGGGGTCTCACAGGAGTGGACAGCCCGCGCACCCACACTCCCCGCCCGGGCGGGCCCTAGGCCAGTCTCCCTGCCCGGGCCTCCCCAGGGAAGTTGGCACCAAACCTTCTGAAGACGCTGAGGGCCTGCACCTGGCACTGCGGGAGGGACGGGGCCGGCCGCCCTGCCAGGCCAGCCCGGGACTCACCAGCTTGCCTGCCGCTCCTCCTTGGATCCCCAGACAGAAGCTCTGCCCATAGCACAGGGCCTGCTCGTCCGCGCTGCAGCCGTCTGCGCTGTGGGAGGGGCAGGGCAAGAGCGGCCTCAGCACGGCCCGCGGGCACCACCCCCAGACAGTGCTCCCAGCCAGAAGCCAGGTGGTGGCTTGACAAGAGGTCGCATCCTGACCTTGACATCCAGCAGGCCCCTCCCCACAGCAGGGGCAGGGCCAGCCTCCCGCCACTGACCCCCACGCAGGGGCAAGAAGAGGCGCGGCCACCCCAGGCTTAACTCAGCCCCGCTCTCAGCCCTCCGGGGACAGATCAGGTCGCTTTTTAGTTTTCTTGACATAAATGATCTGAATTTCAAAGTTTAAAGACTTTAAGGACCGGCTTTATTCCTATGAAGTAAGCACTGCTGTTCAGTTCCCAGCGTTTCCCTTGTGACCTCGGCTCTCCCGTCCCTCCGAGGATTTACTTGCTCATCTTCAAGATCTTCTCAAGTGGTTGGGGTAGGGGGGAGCAGTTAAATGTAGAAGAACAATCCCCCAGAGTAATTAATGCAACGCCGCCTTGCATTAGGCCATATATTTTTGATGTAAAAACAACAAAGCAGCCTTAAAAACAATGGAATGTTCAGAACAGCCCAAAGCATCTGGAGTTTACTCGGAAAGCCCGAGAGCTCTGCCTGGGAAGCGGCTGTGAGCTGAGCTGAGCGCCCTCCCCACGGCCCGGGCTGGGGCCAGCAGCGGGTCACAGAGAAGGTCCAGGGCACCCCTGCCCCAGCGCTCCAGCCCGGGGCAGCCCGCCCGTGCAGGCAGGTAGGAGGGGGCAGCGAGGCGTTTTTACCTCAGGACCATGAACGTGTTTCTGCTCATGGGCACCCTGGCCTGGGCTGCACTCAGCCCGCAGGGCACCTCCAGCTCATCCACCAGGTGGGCCTTGATCTCGTCTGGAGTGAGACACAGGCTGAGGTCCCCACCCAGGAACAGGTCAGCGGACTCAGGGAAGTCGGGGTTCACGACCATGACCTGGTGGCCGAAGTGGATACAGCCGTCCTCGGACACGGAGAGCTTCGTCTGCAAGTGGAGGGGTTTCCAGGCAACCCACCACCCCATGGTCGGCTCAGGGGGACTCCAATCCTTGGTGCCGCCAGACCCCAGCCTGCCCAGTAACCCCAGGGCAGCTGATGGAGACGCATCGTCCACACTAAGTCCTGAGGGCTGGCCAGGGCCTCTGCCATCGGGGCCTCACACCAGGGACGCTACCCTCGGCTTCCAGTCCCGGCTCCTGCAAACGTCCATCTTGGGCTGCGTCTCTAGCACCTGGGGAGTCTTAACAGGCGCTTCTCAACCACAAGGCTGGAGGACAGGAGGCCTTGCCCGTGGCGTTGGCCTGGCCGGCACGTGCTCCCGCTCAAGGATTCTGAAAAGGGTGTTTGACTGTGGAGTTACCTGTTGCAGGAGATTCTCTTTCAGCCGCCTGCTTCTCTGTATGAGAAGCTGCCCCTTGTCCCTCTTCGCCAGGAAGTCCTTCATGAGCTCCTGGTCCAAGAGAAACCTAGTCGGGGTCACCGGGCCACCCGTCCTGAACCACACAGCTCAGGAGCTTTTAGGTCAGACGCACATCAAGTTGAAAAAGCAAAATTTAGAACAGGTGGAAAGGTAAACAGGTGGGAATGTTTCTGGTTTTTTTTTTTTTATTATAAAATATTGATGCACAGAAAACTGAGAAAGGCACGGAAAAGTAAGTATGACCCCCCCAGACTGCCCCAGAGAGTGCGTCCTGGTAACATCTGGTGCCCACCTGCCCCCTCCCTTGGCCGCTCTGCCTGTGCAATGCTGGACTCCGAACGCCCCGGGCCAGCCAGACCGCCCCTGGGGCTCAGGGCAGTGAGGGCCAGGCCAGGAGACGGGACCTCCCGGAGTCGCCTGCCAGGCCCGGAGGTCAAGAAAGTGGGACTGAGACCAGAGGGAGTCCAAGGGTTTGCAGGGGAGCAAGTGAGGGTCCTCAGGCTCCCAGACGCCGGAGGGGTGGGGTCCTAGGGGTGCAAGGGGTGACGGGTGGGGCTCTGTGGGTGCTGGGTGATGGTGGAATTGCTGGGGTCCCCAGGTGAGAGGGAGACAGCCAGCTTAAGCATAAGCGGGACTGGGGGCAGGTGGGGGACCCCCCTGGGCTGGGGCGCCCTCCAAGCCCCTACCTCCTCCAGGTAGACATCCTCATTCCAGTTGCCCATCCGGACCCCCGGCCCATACAGGTTCCGCGCCATGGCGCTCGCTCCCCGCCGCCGCAGTTGGCGTGCCCGTCGCCATGACGACCGGACTGCGGCCAATCCGCGGCGGGAGCCCAGGGAGGCTGGCGAGCGCCGGCTCCGCGGGCGGACAGGTAAGTTCTCTCCGCTCCTGGACCACAAGGGGGCGCTGCGAGGGCCGCGCACCCCGCCCAGGTGTGGCAACCCCGGCAGCAGGTGCAGCCCGTCGGTCACCTGCAGGGCCGCGGGGTGCCCGCGCCCGCACCCAGCACCCAGCGCAGGCGGGACGGGACCACGACTCCAAGTGCCACCGCCCAGGTTCTCAGGCGCAGCAGGGAGCCGCCCGCTCGTGGGGCTGCCTGAGCCGCCCGCCCCGCAGCCGCCGCTCTGGCGCCCCGCCCAGCCACAGCGGGTGTGCAGAGGGCCTGCCCGCGGGTGTGCAGAGGGCCTGCCGGCGGGTGTGCAGAGGGCCTGCCGGCGGGTGTGCAGAGGGCCTGCCGGCGGGTGTGCAGAGGGCCTGCCCGCGGGTGTGCAGAGGGCCTGCCGGCGGGTGTGCAGAGGGCCTGCCGGCAGGTGGTCTGGGGGGACTAGCGCCCACAGGCTGCAGGAGGAGGTGCGGAGGGAGCACCCCGCAAAGGAGCAGTGGGGGGTGGGGGTCAGCCGGTCTCGGCCGCGGCCTTCGCTACCCCAGGAGGCGGACCAGGGAAGCACGGGCTCCGGCCAGAGCGCTGGGGGACCCCCGCTGGCCCACCCTCCGCTCTGCCCGCTCCCCATGTGTCTGGAAACGGCGAGGGGGCGCCGGGGCCGCCCCGTGACCCAGGCGGCTGCCCAGTGTTCGCAGCAAGGGCCTCCAGAGGCGGGAGTGGGGAGGACGCGAGCAGGGAGGGCTTGCGCCTTCTCCCCAGGGAGGCTCCCAAGGGGAGGGTCCCAAGGCCGGCAAGAGGCGAGGCCCGGTATCCGGGCGGGGACTGCCCGCTGCGGGAACGCCCCTTGGCCGCTGCGGGCCGGGCCCAGCGGGAGGACAGGGCCGGGTGTCTGGCGGCTCTGGAGCGTCGCTGCCAAGAGCCGGGATGTTGGTCAGGAGAGAGACCAGAATTCCCCTTGGCGCTGGGTGCCCGGCGTTTCCCGCCGCCCGGTGAATGCCACCGCGCGTCCGGGGCAGGGTGCCGTCCCTCCTCTGCTCTGCCCACCCCTTCCCTTTGGGTGGGGGATTGGGCCGGGCCCCCAGCAGGCGTCTGCTTCTGCAGATAAGTCTTTGCGGACTCTCTGCAGCCGCCTGCTCCAGAGATACATTTCCTACTGGGGAGGAAGGCACACCCCTCTTCCCAGCGGGCGGTGTCCACCCTGGCAGTGTCAGGAAGTGACCACACCCTCTCTTCCAGCCGGGGAGTCCTGTGCTAGCCCTTTCAGAGCCAGGGATGAACACCGCCTTCCCTCGCTCCCTCACCCTCACGCTGCACCACACGGGGCAGGATGGACACCCTCCCCGCTCTGCCAGGACCTGCTCCTCCCACTCTCCCATCCCAGACCCATGCAGCCCCTCCCAGAAGGAAGGGCCGGTGGGCTCCGTCCCGGCCTTCCCTAGGGGCCTTGCCAGGCCTCCCCTTGGGCCAGGCTTATATGGTGTCAGCCTGGAATCGGGCAGGGGTCCTGCTCCCTCTGGGCCCTCTGAGCCTGGGGGCCGCGGCTCTGACCCAGGAAGGGAGCACCCCCCGCCCCCAGCCTGGTTGGACAAAGGGCACGTGGAGCCCAGCGGCTCCGCAGGCACAAGCCAGGGCACACGCTGCTCTCGGCCCGCAGCTTCTGGCCGCCAGACCCGCTCCGTTTTGTCAAAAGCAAAGGAATTTATGTTCCCCACACAGAGCTTTGCTCAGACTGCCGGGTCTACCAGCCCTGGTGCTCTCTGCTCCTCTCCCACCCTCGGCCCGGGGCAGCCCCTTCCTTCCAGCCGTCCCCACGTGCCTCTGAATTCCTCTGCCTGCCCCGGCTCTCTCCGAATGCAGAGCTTACAATTGTTTAAGAAATGAATGAACAGAAAGAAGGCCTGGAAGGACCCCCTTCCAGACCTCGGCTTCCTGGCCCTCAGGTCTGGACCATCTGCTGGGGGCTCCCACTCAGCTCTGTGGGTTGCCAGGAGACCCCTGTCCTGAGAAGAGGCAGGTTTATTGCCTGGTAACCTGCCCCACCCTGTCTGTAAACACCGTCCACCGGGTGAGCCCGGGTGGGGTGGGCAGGGACAGCAGTTAGGTCTCTGAATGGGAAAAGTTCGCTTTTGACAGGTAAGCACCTTCTCTGTGCACCTGCTGCCTCCCCACCGGCCCCTTCAACAGCCCACGGGCCTTCAGCCTGGGCCAGCAGGCCGTGGCGACAGTGGCGGGGGAGGGCACCCAGGGCGGGCTGCACAGCTGTGGGCTCGCTGGGGCTGGGCCTCACTTTTCCCCAAAAGAGTCTCAGGAAACTTGGAAACTGAACACACTGGAAAGGCACGAGCCGGGTGAGCAGAGAGCGTGGTCAGCGGCCCGGGTCCTCCTGGGCTGATCTCGCTCTGCACGTCTGGAGGGGACGTGGCTCCGGGGCCCCTCCGCTGCTGAAGGAGCACTCACCCAGCGCGTCCTCACGGAGAAACCAAGGCCCAGGGGCGCGCCTGCAGGGGTCAGCCTCTCGCCTGCTTCGCCCGCGGTCCCGTGTGCACCTGCTGCAAGAGGCAGGGTCGCGCAGGAGAGGACGTGATACCCATCTCCCCTGGGCAAGACCCACCAAGAGGGAAGCAGGCGAGAGCCAGCTCGGGCCAGGCCTGGACACCCGCTGCGCCCTCCCCGGGGCTCGGTGGCCGCAAGAGGGGCCTAGAGCAGGCAGAGGCCACAGGGCCACAGCCAGGCGACGTAGCCAAGAGCCCGGCCCCAAGGGTCCCGGAGGGCAGCTCCTGAAGCTGCTGTCACTCGGGTCGCCAGGCGGCCTCCCCACGCAAACCTGGGGGGAGCAGGGCAAGGAAACGGGGACGACACCCTTTGAAGCGAGGCCCTGCGGCAAAGGAGCCCAGCCCAGCAGAAACCCCGGGCGTCCCCTGCGCCTGGCCCCCCGGCCCCTCAGGCCGTGTTCCACCTGCCCCCTCTTCCCAGCACCCTCAGGAAACTGCTGCTGATAAAGACAAGGAGGTGCCGGAGGTGCCAGGGACCAAGCAGGGCTCAGAGGCCCGCCCCATGGTGCCAGCGCCACAGCCTCGGGGCTGCCGGCCGTAGGCAGCGAGCGGACAGTTTGGGGCCTGGACGGGCACCCCTTCACTGCGGGCCTTTGTCTTTAAAAAGGGCCGACTGCTGACCTCTGAGCGGCCGCGCACGCAGAGGGTGGGGGGCCCATGGGTCCCGGCCAGCTCCTTCCAGGCTGGGCCTTAGCTATTTCCCGTCCTTTGTCCCTGTCTTCCTTCCTTCCTCCTTGCGCTGCTCTCACTCCATCCTCTCTCCTCCCGCTGCTCCCGGCCTCCTGCGAGGGTGGGGTCTCTGGGACCAGAACTCCCCCGGGCCGGGTTCATGGGGGTTGGCCCGAGGGTGTGGCTGTGAAATCGGGTGCGTGGGGGGCAGGGGGGCATCAGGCCAGGGCCGGGGAAGGAACGGCCTCAGCGGACACGGCGGCCTGGACCTCTTTGGCCCCGAGCCTGGACCCCCGGAGGAGCCCATGGCTGCGCCCGCGCAGGCGAGAAAGTCGGTCGCAGGCTCATAAGGTCCCGCGGCTCCTCGGCCGGCCAGGCCGCAGCTCAGGAGGGGCCGGGGCCTCCCACCCAGCTGGTCCCTGGTGGAATGACCGCCGGGGTGACAGACAAGGGCGGGGCGGAGAGCTGGGCACACCGCCCGCAGCGAGGCTGCCCCTGTCCGGCGCAGGCCTGGCCGACCCGAGGCTGTGACCCCTCTGGAAGCCTGGGCCTGCCAGGAATACTTTCCCCAACCGACGCCGTGACCAGCTTCCACGAGGCGAGGCCCGGCGGGCGCAGGCACCTGGCTGCAGGCTTGCTGCAATTGCAAAGTGGAGGAGACGCAGCCACGGTCCACGGAAAGCCCCGCCCCTCCCCCTCCCCTGGCCGGGCACGCTCCATGGCAACCGGCTCTAGCTCCCCTCATGTGGGGGGCTTTGCTGGTGGGCCCCTGTACCCACACCAGTGGACACGAGGTTTGGGCCGGACCTGATCCTCCTGACCTCAACAGGGTGAACTCAGGCGGGTCTGTGTCCCTAGCCACCCCACCCCGTGTGTGCGTGCACACACACACACACATACACACACACACACACACACGCCCTGTGCGTCCCCCCAGGCTGGGTGGCCAGTCGCTCATCTGCTCCCACCGCAGGCCAGTCCCGGGGCTGGAGTCGAAGGCCTCCCAGTCACTTTGTGAGGCCCCTTCGCTCTGCCCTGGGCCCCCCGTCCTCACCACAACACCCAGGCCCTTCCGTGGCTGTGAGGAGGACTCGGAACCCGGGCAGGGAGCCTGCCCTGGGGTGGGCGGGGACGGGGCCTTCCCCGAAGGTGGGGAAAATGCCCAAGTAGTTCCCGGCGCAGGGAGCAAAGCCAAGGTCACACCACGAGTCGGGGACCCCTGGGGATTCCCCCAGGACACGGATGATGGGCCAGGGCTTGGAGCGGGGAGAGGCCAGAGAGCGGCGCAGTGGCAGGTTCAGCCAGTGGCAGGTGTGCCAAGCCCACCATTCAGAGAGTCAAGCATGTGGGTTTCCCACCAGTGGCAGCTCGACAGGAGGAGCCAGGGCTGAGGCTCCCATGGGGCGCCCTGGAGAGCCGCCAGCGCAGCACCAGGGCCCCGGGGCATGAGGGGTGTCCCACCAGGGACCCGCAGGCCGGGCTGTACCCGGAGGCACTCTGGAGACTCTCACATGCATGGGGTCCCCGGGGGCGACACGCTGAGCGTCTGCACCCCTCCCCCATGAGAAGAGCAGGCAGCAGCCTGGGCACTGGCAGCTGGAAGGGGCAAGGGGCCCAGGGATGCCCCAGGCAAGGCAGGTGGGCAAGGAGCGTGGACTCTGCTGGGCCAGGCGCTCAGAGGGAG